TCTGTATATATCATCTCCTGGCTGTCCTGAAACCTGCCTTTCATGCCCCTCGACCTGTGCAACTCAACATCTCCAAAACTTAAAAGGCCTTGGCAAAAAAATGGCTTCTGTCACTCACACAAAAAATTTAGTCTACTCTGTAGATTCCCAGTATGATCCTGTTAGTTCTCAAAATACAAGCTTCATTGAACTCAGCCCAATAATTTGAGCTGGTTGAGGATCTAAATCTGGAATTCAAAGGTATCAAAAAATGGCAGAGAATAGAAGAAAATTACACTTTTTTACACACACATCCCACACACCGCCCCCCCGAAAGGAGGTTTTAGCAACATCAGGAAACTGGATAAAGTAGCCTCTTAGGAAGAGAGCTGCAGAAGTGCCTATACTAAGAAACAAAGGTATAAAAATATATAATGAGACCCTTTGAGTTGTGTAATGACCTCAATATCAAAAGAAACTGAACAGTGAGTACTTATGCAATAAATACTAAGGAACAGAGGGATCAAATGGGAAACACCTGAAAGAAATTACATTAAAAGCAAGGGAAGAAAAATTAAATATAGAGTATTGCATATCTTTCTAGGACAGACATAGCATAGAAAGGGCTGAACTATTCTGTGTTGACAAGCAAATACTTAAAACAACTTATTTTAATAAGGGAACAAACACAGAAGTCAAACACAGAAAGACCAGATTATGGGAATTTAGATACAGGAGGTCAATGATCAGACATGAGGGCATTCCTCCTACAACACTTAAAGAAGGAATTAAGGCAACACAGAAGCTGTCAGCAATTAGCTTCCAAAGCATCAGAGAAATGGGGTGAAGGAGAAGGCTGGAGAAGCGCAGACCACTCAGCCATTACAAATGGGGAAGGCAAGCCCAGGAAATTCATCTTCATTAGTCTAAAATCAGTACTTCTAAGCTGACTCACACTTACACGAGCTAAGAAGCCACACAGCTAGTGACAAGCAGACACAGCCTGTCAATTGTTTTCTCCAAAAGATCAGGGTAGAAGTTCAAGAGTTAAATTATATTTGCAGAAATCAGTACTGACTCCTCAACAATCACTAACTAAAGAATGGCAAAGACAGTCAAGTTTTCTCACCAGTTTCACTGCATCTTCTTTTCAGACATGCTGATTTATGGATAATATTTTTTTTTCTCAAGTCAGCATCCTTTCCAGTTATTGTCAATGGTTGGGAGGGGAAAAAGGACTGACTGTTTGGAGACATCTTTTTCCACAGCCTGATCTCCTCAGAGTTTCACACTGTTTCCCCCAAGTGTGCCTCCAGCTTGTGCTCTCAATAGCTACAACAATATTCAGCGATGGACATTTCTGGTAAGGTTTTATTACACCTTCAATAATTATGACCCTAGTAAATATCAATATTCATTTCTATCCAGTGTTGGGCCCCCCCTGTCAACCTTAACAATACAGATACAGTTCATGTTGAATTATTGGGAAAACAACTTCCACTCTTTCTACAGAGAGTAATTTCTGTGTAGAAAAGAAAAGTTCTGATCACAATAATTTTTCTTTTTTTTTTTTTTTTCCTAAAAACTCATTCTATAATTTCAGAGAATGTTTTTCAAAGTTCCACTTGGTTTTGCTAACAGTGAACTTGCCAGAAACCTGTTCGAGACAATAGACTAAGGAGGGTGGTGGGGAAGAAAATATTGAAACTTGTGAAACGTAAGAGCATCTATGTTGTACATACCGTTCTGGCCAGGGAAGCACAGGAGAAGCAGAAGGAGAGATGCAGTTGGGAGACATGATATCCACAGCATTTTCAAAGGTCTTTTGAGTTCTTCTCTGTTATCGGACTGATGAGTTAAAGACCTGAAGAAAGGGTCATATGACTCAAGTTGGCCTCTCTTCTTCCAGCTGATGCAGCTGTCTGCTAAAAGAAGTTAGCAATGTGCTTCTTTCACCTTAGTATAACACTGAATGTGACAGATAGGAGGAAGAGAGATTTCTGTTGAGAGGTGAATCTTGGTTTTGACTTCACACTTCAAACGCTCACAGTTTACTACTACTGAACAACCCCCAACCCTGAGGGCAGGATTAGAAAGAGTCTCTATGGTGAGCACCTACCTTCCCTTTACAGTCAACTGAGAAAAGGTAGGCTCCAAGTTGTTCTTCACAGTGCTAAAGTCAGGCAAAATTCTCCCTGTTTTGGCCTTTCTGGAAATGCAGGCCCTTGGTACAATCAGTTCAGTCTGTCAGTGTTCCCATGGGCTTAGCAGGCTGCCTCGTTGGCGGCTGCAAATGCAAAAGTCTTGGCTTTCTTAGGGGCCAGTAGATGAGAGATGCTCCATTACTTCAGGTAAACTTTAAATTATTACACACAAACCCAGCTCACAAAACTACGGGTTTGATCTGGATCTTGGCAATGACAATGTGCATCATTTCCAAGCAACAGCATGGCACGTACCTCCCACGTGCCTCCTGGCTTCACATTTAATAACATGTTCTGTAGCGCCTGCTGTACACAAGAGCTGCTAACCATCAGCAAAAGGGAATCTTAGCTACAGTTCACATGTAGCTGCTGCTGCCTCCCTCCCTGATATAATAAAAAGCTCTTCTTGCAGGCTTGTTCTCTGTGTGAATACATAGGGAAAGGGGGTGTTCCCAAAGAGTTTCTTGAATGCTTGAAAACTTACAAATTTCATCGATTATTGTAGAGAAAACAGAGTTCAGGCAGGTTGTGAAATGAGCTTTCAATTAGCCCTACAAAGGCTCACAAAGACACTCTCAGTCCTTGCCTTTGCTTTTTGCAATATTTAAGAAGTGAATCATGACAGTAATACTGCATGATGAGTTTAGGAATCATGTGATGTTGATGCTTTGTAAAGGAGATTAACACACAAATAGCAATACTATCAGTATACGGTTACTAATGAATAGTCAGTTTTTAAGCTGACATTTAATTGTGATGAGTATAATAACAAAAACAAACCAAAGCAAAAAATTATTAAAATGAAATTACAACTCTCAAATTATGGCATATGGTGAGTTGGACAGGTTAGTGTCTTTAGCCATTTTTTTATTTCATAAACAAATATTTGCCTATATTTGTATATTGCAAAACAACACAATGCAGTTGCTTAGAACACTGTGGATCTTTAAAGCTATTTGTAACAGTTTTTCCTGAAATATAGGATGATTGGTGTCTACCAGTACAACACAACTCAGAAGGGTCAAAGTGAAACAGTAGTGATGCCTCTGAATATCACAAACTGCATAATAACCAGTAGAAAGAAGAGATGTAAAGAAAAGTGTGCTTGAGTAAGCCATAAAGATTGGTCTGCGACTTGTGTCTTGTGACTAATTTAGCTAAGCAACTGCCACCATGCAGAGGTGTCCACATAACTGTTCTTCTCAAAACATGTCCAGCTCTCTGGTCCCAACTGGTGTTAAAGAGCAGAAATTAAATCTGCACATGATTAAACCTGAATCCCTCAAGTTAATACAATGTGAGTTCTCAAATATAATTTTGTCCCTTTTCCAAAAAACTTTTGGTTTATACCAAAAACCACCCGGTGCCATCCATCAATTTGAACACCACATATACACGCACACATAGATTTTTCCACACATGTACACAGACACATTTGTTTGTCTCATTAAAAGACAATACCAAAGAAATGCCATAGCGCTCAATTTTAAGACTGTATTTTTCTAGGTATAGGAAAATAATGCATACGTCACTGGAAAACTCCAGAAGCACAGTATACTGCTTGGTTGCATAAGCTGAAGCAAAGAGCACTTCCTCAAAGGCACCCATTGCAACGATTTACAGCAGAGAGAAACAGAACCAAAAGTAACACCTGTGATAGCTGCAGTGGGGCTAAAAGGCAAAAGGCCCATGCCCAATTTTTTGAGTGCTTCTTTCCCAGGCTATAGCAGCAGATACATTATTTCCTCAAAAATGATTGCTTTTATCCCAAACAAACCTCTTCCTCACTCCTTTTAGACACAACTCTGTTGAAAGCTTACAGCAGTTCCGCCCTGGGAAAAAACAGGAACTGCAATTGTGCTAAGGCGCTGTATAAAGAGGAAAAGTCTTTTTCCCTCTATCTCTGAATCCTTGCACAGTCTGGACTCTTTACAGGTAACCTTAGCTTTGGCTTATTGAGTAAACATTCATCATGATATAACAGAGTTCACAAGTGGATCAGTCAAAGTAGCATGCTCAGTAAATACCTAAAAGCCTTTGACTAGTTGGGGATTGCCATCTCTTCATGAAGTTTTGAATGCATTCCACCATATTAAAATTGAAAAGACAAATAATCTGAGAGTTGAGTTAAAAGGGTATTTTAGATCAACATGAGTGTAAAGGCCCACTGGGGAGGGAAAAAACCCAAACAAGCCATAACAGCACTAGTCTCCTGTGCCAAACAAGAGCCAAATTTAAGCACAGGGGCTTTTCTGGATTTCTAAAATTAATTAATAACATATTCTTGTATGTCTTTCATTATGAACTTTTCCCTTTAGATATGATTGTAGCGAATTTCAAGAGTCACACAGCATTCTACATCCTTTGAGATTTCCTGCTGGAAGTTTCAGCTACAAGTATATGGGTAATTAAACCATGTAAAAATGATTCAGCAAGTATTCATACTGTTTTACGGATCTGCTTTTCAATTGTGCTGCTGATGATTTTTGCTCAAATGCCTGATACTAGATTAGGTCTAACGCAAACTTTTGAGGATTTATTCAAACCAAGAGTGAATGATAAAGCATTTGAAGATGACATACCACCTGTGAACTTGCAGTATTCATCACATACTGTCTGCATGCAGGATACCCAAGCCTGTCTTCAGATGCAGAAATAGTGTAATCTTTGCTGATAAGGAAACAGAGAGGGTAC